ATATATATATATATATATATATATATACATGCTTACGTTCTTTGCGAGTATCAAGTTTGTAACACAGGCATTCTATTTTTTTGTCGCCTATTTACCATTCCATCCACACCTCAGCAATATTTTTTGCACTTACTAACCTCTTTTCAGTTATTCCACGGAAACTGACACGAATGCACTCGATTACTTTTGTCAATAACGAGAATTCATTTTTTAATAATAAAGATCAGGCAATATTTCGTCCTCTTAACATTCCATTTTTTACAATTAAAATGTGTTCAGTGTCAGTTAATTACACTTCTCACTTGGCATAAATTGCCCATATTTCAGTAATACAAGCTATACAATTATTTTTATCTTTTTATGTGATTTGAATTAATTTTTGGCAAAATATTTCAGATTAGGCAGTTTTAATCATTTCATAGTGAGTTTTACTCCAAAATTGAGCTAACAAACTTTGAGATGCGGTGGAGAATAATTATTATTTGTCCTGTTTAGAACTGCATTAGTGATGTATAGTAGTGTAACAATTGTAACTTGTCCGATCACTTTTGTCGGCCTAAAATCATTACTAACCATTCCTTCATATGCCGTTAATTGAAAATTACTTCTGTCAAAAGAATAAGGATGGAAAGAGTACATTAGAACAAAGTCAGCGATCGCTTCTTATCTTGTATAAATTTGCGAAAAAAGAATGTAAATACCAGTCATTTAACTTGATGAACTATTCACTTTTCGCACGTGATGCTCATCTAGTACTGTTAATTGAAACCTAATTGTGATACTAACGTGCTCGCAAAATTATTCGAAAAAATTTTTGATTTTCTAGGATTCAATACGTTTTATGTATAAATTTCTAGCATTAGGATTTGTCTACTTGCAGTACTTTTTTACTCGTTTTGTAAGTAATAATTGTTTCATAAATCTAATCTCAACTACACGTTTTTTTTATTGATGTGATGACTAAGCATAAAAGCACAATTTAAATGATGAAAGCAGTCAAAAATGACACAACGGAATACCAAGTCAAAAATTACTTTGTCATGAGAGAGAGTGTAAAATTTCACCACCTGAAATGGGAAATTGATTGTTGCCATTGAAATAACATTTTGAAAAAAATCACTGGGTAAGATCGAGCAGGGCGTAAACATGCTGAGAACAAATTGATGTTGTGACTACAGTACACTCCCACAAATATATTTACACACTCAATTTTTTGCTCTACCAGTTTGTTTGGTATCAAAAAATTGATATAATTCTTGCTTGTCAAAGGAATCAATGGTTAATGCTTTCTTGGAACAAATTATCTATTGAAATTATTTAAATTACAGTTTAAAAAGTATGTCATCTTCAGCGAAAAGCAGTGGTGATCATAATTACCATGTATCACTGCGAAAGGGTACTCTTTGCGCAGTTTCTGTTGATAATTTGCTAGATAAATCATTATCAAAAGAAGACATCGATGAGAAAACTGACGCTGATGCTCTTGCAATTACGAATATTGATGTTGCTGGCTCATATTCTACGCTTGCAAGTCATAAAACAGAGTCTCCTGCTTCGAATGATGTCACTGATGACAAAATAGCTTGCGTAGAACCGAAAAATGACTTAGTGAAAACGAATAAAGATAATGCGCATTTTCCACACTTATCAGTACCTGATAATAAAGCAGCGCCTAAGAAAATACTGACAGGTACCAAATCTGATGCCTGTTTGCTGACCAGTACATTTAAATATTATGGACGATCACTAAGTAAATCTGATTTAATAGAACTAAAGCGAACGGTTGTGAAATCGGATTTCAAGCCAGTACAAGACCCGTTGTCTGCATCGAAGTTAAGAAAAAATTATTCTGTTGATTGTCATCCAGCTCACACGCCACCTATATTTGAAATAGGTGATATGGATTTTTACAAGTTTTATCAGAAATCATCACGATCTGGCTGTGAGAGTGTTATCGATTCGGATGGAGGTGATTCATCCAAACCTTCTGTACTTTTTCCATCTGTCAGGTAAGCACTTTCTGCAGGTCTACGGATTTATAGAATTTCTTACTTATTAAAGTAACAGTTGTGCTCCGAAGTTTGAAATATTTCCACGAAAAAATGCTTGGTATTTGAACTTTTAATTATGAAGTTATCGTTATCGATAAAGTAGCAAATCGTGAGTGTCGTAAATTACAACAAGTATGAGGTGAAGACATCGTTAGTTGATATTTTATAATTGATACAAAGATTTTTGGTCTTCAAGTTGGTCTTAAACTCAACGTATAGTCTAATGCTATTATTTTTTACGCAAGCATGCTTCGAAAAACTAATTTCATTGTGCATGATCATGGGATATGATTGCGCACTGAAATTTAAAAATAACCAAATTGGTACAGTGCGGCTGAATTGAAATTTTGTGGAAAGTTCAGATTACAAAAAATATTTAATAAGGAAAATACTAGAAAATTGATTGCTTTTCTTAATTTTTTCCATTACACTTTGTAAACTTACTTCTTTTCCACGTGCTTCAAATGTTTGATCATTCAGAAGAATTTTCCATATGTACGGTTCAATATTTTAGCTGAGACTATCGCTACATCTTTGAGACAAAAATTTTCCACATTGTTTGATGAAAAATTAATATTTTCGACTTTAAAAAATTAACTACTTGTTCGCACCAAACTTTTCCATTAAATTTAATCTAATTTTTTTTAGTTTTCTAAACTTATAAATCAATAAAGGACGAATGATAGAGATGACTATGAACAGAATTAATCTGTTGAATGATTAAGAAGACAGTGAAATGAATATTTATTTTCTATCATAAATCATCGTTGGTTATGAAAAGATTTATTTTTTAAATTCTCATTAAGTACTTTGAAAAACATTATAGTCACTGATGTGCATGTGTGTGTGATTACAGCGGTTAAGAAAAAGTTTTAAGTGAAAAAACGCTACTATTTATTATAATTTTACAGTATTTAAAGGTATATCATAAAAACAAACAAATGTAAGTTATCTAAAAAACCCAAGAAACGTTTGAACTTTTTTTCTGCACTAAAAATATTTTTACATTCTGATATGGGCAAAATTTGTTGCCTAAAAGTGCGAAAACGGCGCGTGGCAAAGTGACAAAACTAACTAAAAATTTTGTCATTTGACTTCAAACGTTTATATTATGATGTAAAGAAATGAAGAGTACTGGAAGGGAAACAATGGATAGAGAGTTAAACGTGTTCACGGAAAAAAATAATTGAGAAGTAAGAAATAACTGAAATTTTGTCTAATATTTTATTAGATTACAAAATAAAGTAAGTGATGCAGTTTATTTAGAAAATAAGGTAGTAAATCACAATATACCTTTTTATCTAGTTTCCCGATATTGTAAATGTCTTAATGAAACTTTAAAAGTGATAATATTGAATTAACGAAGTTTGCATACTTGATGTTAAACAAAATGAGATGACAATTTTTATTTTTATTTGCAAAATTTTTGATACTTTTTATCTTTTATTTGCAAGATAGCTGACAGTGAGTAGGAATTATAATGATTATTTGCTTGAAAGTAAACATAAACTTGTGATTTTTACCAACTGTTTATGAAATTATTCCAGTCGAAAGTACAATGAAGTTTTAGATTACTCGTAGCTGCTTTATTATGTTGTTGTTTCATCGCTCTTTCCGTGAGCACTTCAAATATGGCCGTAGCGTTAATTTGCATGACCTCATGTCCTGTTCGTGGTTACAAAGGAGATTTGCACTGGCGAAGCGAAGAGGTAAAAAAATTAATCTTGATTTTGAATTCAAAGATATTTTTAGCACTGAGATTGTCTTGATGTTGATATTGCATGATTTTTGTTTCAAAAATTGTATAGTATGTCAAAATTCTAAAATGTCCGAAAAGTATTCTTCAATTCAAAGTTTAAAAGATATTTTTGAATCTTTGTGAAACAAATATCCTTTTCATGTCTATTTTTTGTGATTAGTTATTACTAATTGTTTAGATATTATAAACTGTAATTCAGGAAGGTGCTATATTAGCGGCACAAAATGTTGGATCACTGTTAATGGTTGTCACAGGACTTTGGGCTGATCGGATCAATGGTAAATGGATGGTTGGTGGTAGCTTATTATTATGCACCGTTGCTAATGTAGCGTTACCAATGATGGCATATGAAAATGTGTGGTATGCTGTTGTTGCTAGACTTGCTATTGGAGCAGCAGATGCATGTCTTACGCCCGCAACTAACTCCTTGATTACTCGTTGGTTTCCACAAAGTGAAAGATCTGCTGCATTAGGTATCGTTACAGGTGGTCGTCAAATTGGTAAGCTTCAAGTTAGATGTGAAAATTAAAATGAAATTATTAGAATCAGTCATTAATTCTGGTAATTTCTGCTAGAAGATAACATAATTAAGAAAATGAAATGTTCTTTTTTCTTCTATTTTTTTTTTGAATCTTTGTGCGCTGCCGCATTCAAATTGGGCAAATAGGAAACTATCCTGCCAAATTCAGAGGAAAAAGTATCTTGCACTTCATAGTCTGGAACGAATTCTTCCAGATATTCGTTGTGACAGATACTGTCATCCTTTCCCATTTCCAAGTTCCATATCGTAACCCCAAAATCCCTGATTTCCTTTTTTCCTATATTGTGGCGACAGGCTGCTCTTTGTTCAGATTTCTACAGAACCGTTTTCTGAACAGCTCGTATTTGGCGTTTTGTATTTTAAATGCACACCATCGATACGCGAGTGAGAACAGTTATAAAGATAAGTGTGGACCGACCTGATATCATGATACACGATAAGAAGTGACGTGAAGGAGTCCTGATAGAAGTTGGCATCACTAGTCTGAACAGGCTGACAGCAGTCAAGACCGAGAAAAAGCGAAAATATGACCTACTTGCTAATAAGCTTGGGTCAGAGATAAAATGCAGGACGAAAATAATTTCATATGTGATGACTTGGGATGGGACTGTAACGAACTTCCATGAACGCTACGCGAAAGAGATCAGTATATCTGATCACGTCGAGGCATACATTCA